CGCGAACCGCACGACAACCGAAACGAAAATGAGCCGATGCAATGGCATAGAAAATGAAATAAAATGGAATTGGATGCGTCGGGCGTTGGACGTCGGCAGCGCTGCCCGAAAGAGCGAGAGCGAGAGCGCGAGCAGCGAGAGTATAGAGAGCGCGACTGAGCCGACTTTGAGCAAAACTGAACTTACTTGAGTATTTTTGTTGCTGTTTCCGAATTAAGTGTTGAGTTTATTTATGCGAATGAGCAAAAAACGGCGCTCAAAAGGCGCGCTCAATAACTCTCAAGACTCAATATTGTGCGTATGTATGTATAGCTGCATTTAAGCACTTTATTAAACAGAGTTAGCTGTGTGAGTGGAAACTCTTTTTGAGTGCATATGAGCATGTGTGTGTGTGTGTTTGTGTGACAATCTGTTGCCCTCTTTTAACCAAACGTAATCATAGGTAATATATGTATATACCTTATGGGGTCAGAGACGTGTCCAGGTGTTACATATTTTATGACAAAATTATAGTATCTTTAAAAGGCTCTGTCCAAAGGGCATAAAGCATAAATATGCACACTCAATATTAAAAAATAATTCCAATAAGAAAACTCACAATTGCAAAAGTTTGTTAAGAGTTTTGGTTAAAAGTCTGTTACAGCCCGATTTAACAATGCCGGAGAGGATCAACACTTAAAAGTTAAAGGTGAGCGGATGCACGGCGAAGTAGCCTTTGCTCTTGGCCACCTGCGTGGACAGCCGGAGCAGATTGTTGTCGTTGTTCACGTAGTTGCCATTGAGGATCTCCATGGCAAGGCGCAGCACATCGGCGCTGCCCTGGGTGCAGATGGCGTTGGCGGTCAGCAGCTCGTGATCGGCCAGCGGCAGGCCAATGCAGTAGGAGCGGGAGGCGCGGGCGGTGCTCGCCCACATTGCGTAGATTGCGGTGCAGATGTTGGCCAGGCGCTGCAGCTCGCTCTGGCGCTCCACAATCGCGTTGCCGTGCCGGGTGAACATTATCTCGACGGCCATGTGAAGGCGCGCCACCGAATGCTCGATGCACTGCGCGGCCGCCTCGAGCGAGGGATGCACATGCTCGGCCAGCTGCATGCGCGTCTTGGGACTCTCCAAGCTGGCCGTGCCCAGGAATTTGCCGAATATGTGTCCGGGATGGAACAACGGATTGCGCGACTTGCGCACGCCCTCATTCATCCGTTGCTATACAAAGGAAATCAAATGGGAATTAGGCCAGGGAACGACATGACTCAGCTGCTCTCTCTCTCTCTACTCACGCCGGCGTGCTGCAGCCCAGACAGCGCGATGAACATGCTCAGCGTGCTCAGGGATTCGCCCTGCGTGCACAGCTGTGCACTGTCCCGCAGCGCCAGCTCCGCCGGCTGCCCGCTGTGCAGGCTGCCGGGTCCCAGAAGGCTCAGATTCTGCGTGGAAATCGCGTACAGCTGCTGCAGTGTGTAGTACTTTGTGATGGCGCTCTCGAGCGTCACATCCTGTCCGTGGAACTCGTCCAGCAGGCCGGCCGTCAAATAGAGCATGCTCTCCATGGCATAGACGGAGCACATGCCCTGCGACAAGTTCACGCGCGTCAGCTCCAGATCTCTGCAGGGATATTAGCATTAAAATTTGTGATTCCTTTATGGGGCATAGTAGGCCCAATTATAACCAGGACTCATTGATCCCTGGCGACTCACTTGATCTGAACGCCGCACTGGGTTGTCTCCACGCTGAAGGTGGTCAGCTGGTTGAGCAGCCGCTTGGACAGTGCGATGCCCAGGAGACTGCTGCGCAGACGGGCGAAGCGCACTAGCAGCTCCGAGTGCTGGTTGCCCTCGTAGCAGATGCCCAGGATCTGCTGCTCGCTCAGCTGCACCCTGTCGAAGTGGATGCGTCGCATGGGCGCCTCGCGGCAGCCGAAGGTCGCGTGCAGCTCGCCCAGACGCACGCCCGGCTGCTGGGAATCGACCAGAAAGAATGTGGAGCCACGGCCCAAGTCGCCGGGCACATTTACGCGCTGTGTCTGTGCCAGCACGAGAAACAATTGCCGTGTGCCGGCTGGCGCCACAACCACAAATGCCTTCTCGCCAGACAGCGACCAGGTGCCCGCGGCCGAGTCGTAGGTGGCTTGTGTGCCGAAGAAGTCGTCCTCGGGCGGCGTGTACTCAAAGATGGCTTCGGTGCCTATGAGCTGGCCACTGCCCAGTGCTGGCAGGTAGCGTTGCTGCTGCTCCGGCGTGCCCAGCTCGCGCAGCATGTCCACAACGACGCGATGCGACTGCAGGCCGAGCGCCAGGCTCGTGTGTGCCGACTCCGGCTCGCTGGCCATGAGGCTGGCGCTCCAGTTGTAACCCCTGCCGTCGTAGTCTGTGGGCACGTTCAGCCCGTAGAGGCCGAGCTGTTTCAGGCTGTCCAGCGCAAGCGGCTGCTCCTCCGCAAAGTAATTCTTCAGCGGCAGCAGCGCGTTCTGCAAGCTCGCCATCTCCTCGCGCGCTATGACCTCTGGATAGCCGAGCAGCTCCTTGTCCGTAATGCCCACAAAGAAGTTCTTCACCAGCGGTTCACGTGCCGGCAGCCCCTGCTGCTCTGCCGGCGCCACCTCCTCTGGTGCTTGTGCATTGCCTCCCCGCGGCTGGGCATGGACGCTGCTGCTGCTGCTGCTGGCGGTGGTCGCTTTGCTGCCCGCTCCGCGCGCCAACAGAAATGTTCCGCTTTTGCTGTGATTCTGATTTAATAATCTGACGGCACGCGAAAACAGATTGTAGCGCATCTTGAATTAGGTAATGTAATGTGCAGCGGCAATAGAGATGGACAACCCATATTTATATTTGCCGATTAGCCGATAGTATCGAGTAGCTGGCTGCCATCGCTGTGTCGTGATTTGGTATTTAAATACAAATAACTTAATGTACGTTTTATTTGAAAATAAATTGTTGCACTCGCACACAAACATAGTGACAACGTTTTCTGATTAAAAAAGTTAGACAATTGTTTAGCATTATAGCTGCTTATTAGCATACGATACTTTCAGCGCCAGAACTGAAATCACAATGTTGCGCATCTCTAGCTGCACTCGTGCAATTAATGGGCCATCGCGACTTATCGATAATATAGCAAAGCGATTATTTTTGTAATCGTTTTTCTTAACGAATTTTTAAATTGTATTCAGTTCTGTATTAGACAACTTTTTGCCCTTAAACAAGTAACTAGACATTTGTGAAACAGAATTAATTTAAAACTTTGTATAGAATTATACTTTAAATAGACTAGGACTAAGAGATGCCCTCCGACTAGAAAATACCCTAAAGTCACCGCCAAGTTGGAGCTGCAAAGCTTCTATACAGCCCTTTACAATATTCAGGGCCTAATCATGACACACATATGTATTTATGTATACTACTTTACCTTAAAAATAAAAATATTTTGATATATATTAAATATAGATTAAAAAGTTATTTTGTCATTTGGATTAAAAACACAAAACCCTTTATTTGATTCATTTTGTATATTGGTGTTATATAATTGCTATTGACTGGGCACATTAAGCTCTCTACTTAAAACAATTGAACAAATAAAGAAAGATTTGTTTTTTTTTTAGTGTGTTGTGTATTCACTTTTGTTTATTATTATTTTTATTTTCTTCTGTTTTTCGTGTTAGTTTCACTTGTTCGTGTGTGGAACTGTTTTATTTATTTGTTTTTTTTTTTTTGTCATTTTGTTTCTTTTTGCATTATTGTTTAATTTGTATACCAGCTAGATTGAAAATTTGTTAATAGCGGTAGTTAGTTATACATAGTTTATAGTCAGGTATCAATGGAAATAAGAGTTTAGTATTAGAGTTTAACACAGACGTATGTACATACATACATACATACATATCTATAGCATATTATTGAAGTACAGTTGTGCTTGAAAGCCGCTCGATCAAACTGGCAATTGGGCCAATTGGGAATAACTGATTAGTCCCGCGCCAATTGGAAACAAACTATTTACATATATGTTTCAAGCACTTATTGCATATGTGTTAAAGCACACACAGAAGAGATGAGAACAAAAACAAACTAATTACCATGTAAATTGCATTTGTTGTAATAAACAAATAAACAAAAAAAACAAACAAACAAAATTGTTTAATTGTATTTAACTAAAGCCCTATGTTATTGAAATACCTCAACCGGCAGCTCATATCGTATCACAGGCACGCTTTCAAAAACACGCAAAACTCAGAAACAAAAAAACTAAGGGGAAACTCAAAAATAAGAGCTCGGGGAATTCAATTGAAATCTGATTGGAAAACTAGACTGAAAATCGCACACTAAACGCTAACAACAACGATCGATATGAGCTGGCCAACACACACACTCGCACACACAGACACACACATGCCAAATTCAGTTGCTGTTTTCACTTGAAATTTTCCTTTGAACACATTTAATCGATTGCATTTCTAAGCTCTACATACGCATTTATAAAGGAATATGCATAAGAAAACTTATTCGTCAGTTAAGCTGGGGGCAGGATCTAAGCTAGGAAAACTCTTTCAAAGATATGATAACTTATTCGCTGCGATTTCCCTAAAATTGTTAAAGAAATAAAGCAGGGCTTCTCCATTCTGTGAGAGACTAGATCTAGCTCAGAATTCGGTTGGGTTTCTCTCTCCTTACAGCTCGCTGATTGACTGATTGACTGATTGACCCTCGCTTGCAACTGGCTGCTGTGCTGCTAGCTCTGATTGCTCTCTGAATACATTCACATTCACATATATATTCACATTCTCACTCAGACACTCAAGTTATACACTCGCACTCGTTTCTATATACTCGTATTGCATATGATTGGTTGTAACTACATCTTAGTATTGCTATGCGGAGCTGCTGCTCCTATCCATAATAATGTGGATCCTCAGGGATTCAGTGTAAATTGAGATATTTGCTTGTTTTTCTTGTGGATGGCCCCTTCACAAAGCGAGAGAAATAGAGACAGAGAGAGAGTAGAGGCATTAATCATTAGGTTGTTGTTGTTGTTGTTGCACTTCGCAATGTTCTTTCTGCTTAGCATTAACACAATTTTCAAAAATTCAAACTAGAGGCCTTAAACTGACTTAAACAGAGTTGTGGTGGGGGGTTGGGCGGGGCAGGGCGTGGGGACAGAGAGAGAATAGAACAGCGTCTGGTCGGAAATTTGTCTCGATTCCCGTTGTTAAGCTTGTCCAGAGAACTGCCAATTTTCGATGCTCTACAGTTGATACTTGGGGCATTGCTGCCAGAGTTGCCAGCGCGCCTGCAGCTGCTTCCACAGGCGCCGCACAAAGTTGCCACCGCAGTTGCCGTTGACACATGCCACGCCCAGGGCGCTCAGCAACTACTAAATCTTGCCGGGACTCTCCTGGCGCGCACTGTACCTGGGCTCGGTCGGCATCAGCGTATCCGTCACCAGCTCATTGGGCGCCTCCACCATGCCCTTGGCGTGCGCCGCCGCTGTATCGCAGTCCGTGCGCCTTGAGATCAGCAGACGAATGTCCGTGTGCAGCGAAAGGCGGCCGGAACGCGATGTCTGGAACCTGCGATGCACAAAAATCAAAGAGTTAAACATTTCTCTAGAAATTAAAGCGAATCTAAGCTAGACAATGATTCACGAATTCCTTGCCAGCGTTAGTCAGTTTCGCTGGCTCAAATTCTGGCTTGGAATTTACAAATTTCAAATTCAAAGACAATATAAACACTTCGTTATTCATTCGTTTAGCTTTTGAAAAGCGAACAGCCAGTCAGTCGGCTGGCATGTCGTGTGAAGTGGGAAAAGCCAGACGAGAAGCCAGGCTAGAAAGTACCCATCTTCGTGTTTATATTGTCTTTGCCCGAAATACTGAAGATAAGAGACTTTATCTTAAATGTTTTATGACCACAAAAGTTCGATTATTCGAGTCTGATTTGATTATTGAAAACATTTCAATCCTATATCGACGCACAACATGAATGATATACGTTGGAATAGCTTTTCTCTCTTTGAGGAACAATTTTAACCTATCTAACGCAAGTTGAATGAGCCTTGGATGAAGTAGTTACAAGTTGGCTGGTTTTCCTGCCTTTTGCCCATTGCTAACCCATCAGCTATACTGACCTCAGGTGTATGGAGTAGCGCAGTCGCTTCATCTGCTCGGCACTGATAAAGTGGCCCAGTTTGCTGGTGGTGCTCATGGCTGTTGGGCTGCCCGGCTCCCTTTCCCGATGTGGCTGCATCATGATGCCGCCGCCGCAAGGACTGGCGCCGGGCAGCTCCTCGGCGAGGATGCGCTGACGTATAAAGGTGCGATGCAGTGGCGGCATGTCGCGCATGTCGTAGGGAATGACAAACATGCGCACCACTGTGCCCATGGGATTCAGGAGCGTCGCCTGCACAGTGCCCGATCGCGGCACAAAGTAACCTTTGCGTGGCAATCGAATCTCGCACTGCAATTAGCCAAAGGGAAAAGTTATTAAATAGACCGGGCAGAACAGCAACCAGTGCTGGGAAGTATACGCACCAGGTAGGGCGTGCTGAGCGTCTCGCCGTGCAGCTCGTAGAAGTACGAGGAGGCCGGAATGGTCAGCTGTGTGGGACAGAAGCCACCTGAGGCGCCCAGCTGCAGACGAAAACCGGCCACTTCGATCTTGGGCAGCAAACGCTTCTGCAGCAGCGACTCCTCCAGGTTGCCCAGCAGCGGTCGCCCTCCGAACTGTGTCGCTAGACGCGCTCGCGTCTTGAGCGGCGAGCCCGCCGGACTGCACATGCCCGACTCGAGATCCTCGTCCGACAGCTGCTCATCGGAGCCCAGCGAGCTGCGGTCCGACCGGTCGCTCAGATGTCGCGAACGACGCTTGTAGAAGGCCGCCTGCTTGGCGAAGCGCGGCGACACCGACAGCGCATTGGGCAGCGTCGGGGCCGAGTAGGACTTCTGCACGGGCAGATTGGCCGCCTCCGGCGGTGTCAGCAGCGACTGTGACTGCGACTGCGAGTGGGCATAGCTCAGCGCTGGCGGCTCAAAGCAAAAGGCCAGCCCGCTGTCAATGGTAATGGGCGCCGAGCTGCTGCAGAAGATCGTCGTCAAATTGACCTTGGGCAGTGCCTTGCGCAGCAGCGGCGACAGCATTGGCGGCGGCGTCTCCCTGTCCAGCAAGCCGCCGCTGCAATTCAGTCGCAGCTGATTGGGCGCCTTTGTCGGCTGCCCCGTCAACGGCGGCAGCTGCTGCTGATAAAGTGGTTGCTGCTGCTGTGGCTGCGACTGCGACTGCGACTGGAACTCCTGCAGCTTGAGCGGCACATGACTGATGGGCGTCTTGAACTGCACCACAATGCGCTCATCCATGGCACAGCCACCGACATCCGTTGGCGTCTGACAGCGTTCCTGGCCAGCATTCAGTGAGCAGCGATCGATGTTCGGCGTCAGCTTGGTCGAGGCGCTCTACGGGAATGAGAATGGGAATAGATTAGTAAAGCAAGGACATATATTATGCTGAGTCTGCTTACCACTTCCACCTCCTGATCCATGCTGTTGTCGGCGCCCTCGCCCTCGTTATCCGCTCCGTGCCCGTTCGTCCCGTTCGATGGCAACTCCGCATCCTTTTTACTCGCCTTGCCAGCGCCAAAATTGTGCTGTGTCTTCTGGCGCTTGCACACCTGACATCCGCTAGTTGGCGCTGGCTTCAGCTGGTTATTGTTCTGGTTTCGACTCTGGCCCTGTTGCACTATTCCAGCTTTGAGATCGTTAGACGCTGCTGCTGCTGCTCCTGCTGCTGCCGCGGCTGCTGCTGCTTTTGGTGTGGGCTTTCGGTTCTTTGGCGTGCGCTGTATGGCCTGGAGCAGCAGCTCGGCCTTGTTGCGCGGTGTGCCCACAATGAGATCGGAGCTGCTGAGGCTGCAGCTGGACGAGTCCTCCATTTCCGAGGCGCTTGTGTCGTCGCCGTCGTCATTATCATCGTGCCCAGTCTTCGGCTCGGCATCGTCGGCGCTGCAATTGAGGCAGAGCAGGGTCTTCTCGCTGCCGCACTGTTGGCAGCTGCTCAGCGAGGTCTGTGTGCCCGTCGAGATCATCGCGATGCGACGCGGCGCCGTCAGCGTCAGGACCATTGCCTGCGTTTGCGTCTCCTCGCTGCCCTCGTCCATGGGTTCCATGTGCTCCAACTGATCTGAGGGCTTGCGTTCGCGCTTCTTGTCCCGGCGCTGCATACGTTTGCGATACTTTTGCAGCTGCCTTTCCCGATGACCATCCAGATCATCTCGAGCTCCGTCCTCCTCTGCCGCCGCTCCTGCCTCAGCTTCCCGCTCCTGCTGGTGCCTAGCCCCAAACTTATCACAGCTGCTTGCCGGCGGCGTTGTGCTGATGGCAATCCGTGCGCCCAGCCCGGTTGGCGTGGCCGCGCACATGCCTCCGCCGCCTGTGGGCGTGCTGGCCGCCGGCTCGGCTCTCTGTGTGCGCGGCTTGGACACCGCAGGCGAAACGTGCGGCAAGCCGCCGTTGAAGCGCGGAAGACTCTTGACGCAGACCGCCACGCTGAAGTTCTCGGCAATGTTCACGTGCGGAAAGTTGTGCACGTTCGCCTTGGCACTGAAGCCGCCATCGTTGTGGTTGCCATTCGAGCAACTCAGGTCATGTGGCCGGATCCTGTAGAAGATGTTGAGACGCGGCCGTCGCATCCCAGCCGCAGCCGAGCTCGTCGAGGCACTGTGCCCGGCCAGATCTCCGGCCGTGCTGCTGCTGCCGCTGCCGTTGGCAAAGATGACGCGCCCGCTGTCATACACCGAGGGATCGCACTTGCGCAGCAGATCGCACCAGGCCACGATCTGTGAAAAGTAAAGCTGGCTGCGAATCGCACTGCACAGCGACGGCAGCGTCATCGTCGGCGGCGGCACTCTGCGGGATTGGCAAACAAAAAAAAGTTGTGCATTAGCAAGAGTCGCAAGTTATGGAAATCAAATGAAACCGAATTTAACAATGCTTTGATCTCTAAACACATCAAGAGCGCCGCGAAGTCCAGGACTGGGACTAGGATTGGGATTTGGAATTGGGATTGCAGCTAAAGTTTTTATCATCCTCGCGAGACTCGACTTCAAATCTCTATTGTGATATTTCTACACAATCGACATATGCCAAACGTGTACTATATATATGACATGCATTTACCATATATATATTTAAAAAAGTTCGATCTGACTAACTGATAGATTGTCTGATTAACGGACTGCTTGATAATTAATAATCAATTAAGTAATTTGTGTTAATGGGGTAGATTTTTCGGCTCGAAACTCATTTTGAACACTTTTAATAGATATTTTCAGATATTTGAAACAAGATTAGCACACACGGAAATACCTTGGCTAAGTGTTAAAGTAGGACGATAAAATTTTAGTTGCGGGTGAAGTAATAATGTCTAGAAACTAGAGATAGATAGATAGAAACTAGATAGAACTCGGCTTATGCAAAGTTGGATAGGCAAGAAATAAAAGTGCTTTCCATTAGAAAGTGCTCGACTTGTAGATATGTTTTACTCCTGCCTGATTCCTTACAGACTTCCGTGAAGATTTGTCACAGAATCACAAATGACTAATAAATCTAAACTGAGCTTATTTTGCGTGGCATCTAAGGGAACCCCTCTAACTTTGAAAGTATCCGACGCGACTCTTGATGCTGGTCAACAAAATATGTATAAATACTTTTTTGGATCGGAAATGCGTCCATCTGTGTTTGATTGGAGTGCGGATCTGCGCGATAAGCTCCACATGGATGCATGGAACTGATGAGTGCTTAAATGTGGCATTGATTCAGATTCAGGCAGTTCGGAGCGCTGCATCGTAAAGTTGTCATGGATTGTTTGTTGTTAAGGATTCTTTGAAAATTGAGTTATTGCATGAAATAACTGTAGTTCGTATGGATTTGTATCTTTACAAATGCGATCTGCGATTTTGAAGATCGTTCAAATATGAACTACAGCCCAATATGAGTACAGAAATGTGTTGATCGGCGTCACACTTACTTCTCCTTGCCGCTGATGATCCACTGCTCCAGCAGAATCTTGTGGCCGGCGGGGCCCAGATACACCTCGATGCAGACGGGCTCCCGGCGCGCCAGAATGGCCTCCATCTTCATGCAATGGGCACGCCAGCGGGAACACTGCAAGGACGAAATAACAAATAAGATAATTGCATATGGGAGATGGGTCTATGGATTACTCACGGTTATATTTACGTAAGACATATCACAGAAATGCTCCTCAGCGTCGGCAGACTCGCCCTTGGCGAGGCCCATCTTTCTGAGGAACTGATCACAGTGTGGCCCGTGTTTGGGCCGCGTGGTGCAGCTGGAGCTGGTTCCGTTTCCGCATCCGGCTCCAGCTGCGTTGTTGCTGGCAGTGGCTGTTGATGTGGCTGCTGCACCTCCTAATCCTACTCCTACTCCTCCTCCAACTGCTACTCCTCCTCCTCCTCCCACACCGTATCCTCCTCCACCCCCTGGTGAACCACTGCCGCCAGGCATTGTCCGGCTGCAGTTATAGTCCAACAGACTGGCGGCACTCACAGTTGTTGGTGTTGTTGTCGGCGAGCCAAAGCCGAGGGCCAGGCTCAGGGGTCGCGTCTCGGTGGTCACAGCGGGTCCGCCGCGCAGACAGGTCGTGGCTAGCGATTGCAGCGAGTGCAAAATATTATCAGAGCCGGAGCCGGGTGAACTGGCAGCACTCGAGTTATTTGTAGCTAGCTGCTCTCCAGCTGCTCCCCCTACTCCTCCTCCTCCCCCGCCACCTCCGCCAGCACGATTCAACATGACGCGACGCACAATCTCAAAATCGCCCCGATCCGCATTCAGCTCATTAATGGCCAGTGCCACAAGCTCCGGCTCGGCACTCATACTCTGCGCCGCCGGCGAGACCTGCCGCAGCTGGCAGAGCTTCTGCGTCCAACGTTGATGCGTGGCACTGCTGCTGCTGCTTGCGCTGGCACTGGCACCATAACCATATCCCTGTCCCTGACCATGACCATAGGCGAGCCCGTATCCGTGAGCATGGGTATAGGCGGAACGGGGCGTGCCACTAGCCATGGCTGCATAGGGATTCGTTGTAATGTTGATGGCTGCCCGCGATGTGGAGGGGCGTGGCGAGAGGCGACCACTGCTAGTCGCTGGCGTCACCTGTTGCTGTCGCTGCTGCTGCTGCACTTGGTACTCATCATCGGATATGGGCCTGCCCTCCAGTATGAGCGAGGCCAGGCCCAGCACAATCGAGTTGTAGTTGCTCTGCTGCGCTGCCGCCGTCGATGCAGCTACTGCTGCTGCTGCTGCAGTGCCGCCAACAGCAGCTGCTCCATTCTGTGCCAAGCCAGCGGCTGGCGGCGAATTGGTGACGCTTGTGGGTATCATGTGCTCCTCCCTCTGCTGTCCTCTCAACTGAATTCTCCCGGCGTATACTTCTGCTACTGATCCTCTTCCCCTTCTTTTAGATGTGGTTGTCGTCCTCTCGCACCTGCACCAGAAGTACACTGCAGAAGAAGAAGAAACATGTGTGTGATTAGCGATGGAATTGAATCTTATGGCGTGCAGCCTAAATTAAGAGTTTGTTCTTTGGTTCCCCAAGGTCGTGGGGCCATATGTCTCCTCTCAAGAGGCGCAAGGTATGCTCCCATTTAGAGACGATATTTTAAAGTCTTTTTTGTATGAATGTGTATCTATGTGCACACATATCTATGTACAACAAGAAATATAACACGAAATGGCATTGGGTGAATGCAGCGTGAATGTCACCAACTATAAACTGGGTCACCTGAGGCACCCTGTATGTCAAATTGAATTATGCTGTGAAGGTCCTCAGCATATACGTATGTACATTCATATGTGCACACATTTTACATAAGCCAATGGAATTTACTTTGGCCCAGATCCTGCATTCTACAGACGCTCTCTTGGCTCTTGGCGGCGACACACTAACACGGCCTCAATGTGGCCCCCAAAAAAGCAGGCAACCAGGTCGTTACTTAATCAGGCAGCTGTTGCCATGTCACAGCACAGAACAACAGAGTGTGAGGCGGCAGAGAGGCAGCGGAAGGGGGCCAATGCATTTGTGAATGCAGCTTTAGCAACACATGTTGCTAACGCTATGACGTCATTTGGCACTAGAAGTCAGGCTTAGCGTGCAACATGCAGTTTTTTTCTCTAATAAAAAATTTGCAACGTTTCGAAGGTCAAGCATCAGCGGAGGGGGGCCACTAAAAAAGTGCTCAAGTCGCGCTTGGCAACAATTCTCATGCACACAGCGAAAACAGCTGTTCGTATTTGTGTTTTATTTTTTTTTTTTTTTTTTTGTTTAGGCATGTGTTGCCCAACGCTGGCAACATGTTGCCAAAACCAACACAAATGTCAGAGAGCACAAACGCGCCCTCTCTTTCGCGCTCGCATTCTCTGTCTGTCTCAGTCAACTGGTAAACATGTTTGTCTTTACTCTTGCTTTTGTTTTTTGCGTTTCTTCTTGACCTGCATACACAATATATAACTAGCGCGCGAGACGAAACCTATGTGTATTGGTGTATAAACATATACACAAAGAGAGAGGAAGAGAGGTGAGTATATGCCGAGTATGTGAGTGTGTGAGTGTATATGTGCGAGCGCTATTAGAAAACATATGATTTTTGTGTTGGCTGCTCACAATCAGTTGGCAATGTTTGCTCACACGTATTTGAGCGTGCATGTGAGCGTAAGTAGTTTTGTTTATGGTCGCTCGCGCACATTTACATACATACATATACACTTGGCCCACAATAGACACGCATTCACATATACACACAGCAACAACAACTACCCGTACGAAAATGAGGGCAAGCGAATGGAACGTAACAGTCCAAACAGCAATAACCGCAACAGTAGCAGCCGTGGAGTTTAATAATATTTGATTACATTATCGCTGTTTCGCTTTTATTTTCCTTTTTTTTTTTTTTTTTTGTATAAATTATGTTTGCGTTTATTTATTTACTTTATGTACAATAAATATGTATGCATATATAATAAATGAGTACCTATGTGATTGGGCACCAGGAAAACGGCAAGATATAAATCATTTCAAGATATGACGCAGTTGAAATGCTCTACAAATTGTAGCGTAACGTAACAAAATTGAACGTGGCAGTTTGTAAAGGGAAGCATGGCTGACTGGTAAAGAGAGTGGGAGAGAGAGGAAGAGAGGAAGAGAGTGTGCTGTGCTAGCTGAGTACAAGTGTTAACTGAACGGTATTTTGGCAGACCCGCAACATACTTGATCAATTGCACTTTTTGTTTTCATTGTGAACTAATTAAATTTCGCTTTGGTCGCCGTCCTTGGCATGCTTTTGATTTTGCAATAATCGTGCGAGTGTGTGTGTGTGTGTGTCAATGTACACATGCATGTGTGTGTGTTTCTCTATGTGTGTTCGTTAGTTTTGCTGAGTGCGTTCTGCTTATTCATTGCACATTTTTTGAGGCCTGTTGCAATATTTGCATTTATGTATTTGATTGAGATGTGTGTGTGTGTGTGTGTGTGTGTGCCGTTATGCAAATTGCGGAAAGGAAGAAAACAAAACAAAACAAAGAGTTGTGGCAACAGTGAAAGGTAAACTATGTACACATGCATACACATACATTAATGCTAGCTAATGTCGCCGCTAGATGGCGCTGCAGCCAACTGCCAACAAAAACCAGTTCACAATTGTATATTTGAAAAGCAAAAAGTGTTGCAACTTTGAAAAACAAGTTCCGACGCTGTCGTCGCCTTTCGCTTAGCTGCTGCGCCCCTCCCCCCTCGCGCTGCTTCCTTTGCATTTGGCTGCCATTTGATTATGAAATGCGCCAAAGGCAACGGATGGACCGAACCGCTGCTGACGTCGGCGAGTGCAGCGAAAAGCGCCAACGATATGGAAAAGTTTTCAAGCATGTCATCCATTTAGTCTGTTTAGTCACCCCGCCAAATGCGTCATGACATCTATACACACACACACACACACACACATACATATGTATGCATGCATGTACATACAGCTATAAATTTAACAGGTATTTTTATACATGCACATATTCAAGAACTCTTGCATTTAATTGTCACTTCATTTTGCAAAAATGTGTCATATAAGGCGGAAGTGTCTCACAAACGACAACGACGCATCGCAACGTAATTAAGACAAGTCGGACGGCCATATATCGCGTGATATATCACACAATGTATGTGCACATACAGACATACATACATGCATGCATGCATATGCATACAGATATTTTCACTCATATTGAATGCCATTTTACACGCGTTGGCCAATAATTACACAGGCATGTGCATGCATGTACACTCATACACACACACACAGACATATTTATGTACCGCGCGCAGATGACTTTGATTAGACAATAGATCTTTTCAAATCGCTGTTGACCTCGTTGTCGACCTTACAAAGTACCCATCTATCTATATATCTATCTAACTATCTATGTATCTATGTACATATACATATGTATGTATGTATCTATGGGGGTGGGGGTACACGTGGAGCCACAGCCCTCTTTGCCGCCTTTTGGCGTTTCACAGCTGAGCTGAGACCGTTGCGTTTCAGTGGGCTAGTCAAAGGGGCGCACCTACGGGTATGAGCTCGCTTTGAAGTGCAATACATAAACAACATCTATGTACATATACACACATACACACACACACATGCATGTGAACATATCATAGGCAAGACAGCGACTCAAGGTTTTCAAATCAACAAATAAAAAAAAAGCAAAGAAAACTTAAACATGTAAATGGGCATGATCGACTAATAGTTGCCACGCAAAAGTCATTAATTAAAAAGCTGTTTTTTATTTTTTAATATATTTTCGCAGAACTACAGCTGTTATCTGTTCGTCTAATTGTTATTTGTCGCGTTTCTATAGATAATTGTCTCTACTAATTGCAATGACAATTCAACATTTCATTTTAACTAAATTCAAGCATACAACTGCATTCAATATATAAAATCAGCATCACTTACCTTTTGTAACTTTGTTAAAATTCCATTATTTTTGCTTTGTGGGCTGCAATTAGAATGGGAGAATAAATGTGTGTTAATTAATTGCAGGTATCGAAAGCTACAGACATATATTGCTGAATAAACATATACACTTGCACATTATGTGGCATTGTTCAGATAGCGCGCTATAATCTGTGCCCATTGAATGGGGAATTAAATCATTTTGGTAGCTAAGCACAAATGTTAGAGATTGCCACACTGAGACACCCTGTTTCTTACACAATGCTTAGCAAAGAGTTACACGGTTTCGCGCTCTCTCTTACACAATTACTCTCCTTTGCACACACACGCACGCACACATGCAGAGCGTCGCTCACATGTGCGCAGTAAATGGAAAAAGCAAAAACAAAACCACACGATAAATTGTAAACAAATACAAGGCAGCAGCAGCAGCAGCAGCAGCGGCAGAGGCAGCGGCAGCGGCAGCGGTTGCGTTTACTTTTGCTCTTGCTTCGGCTCTTCCTCTTTGTCTGTAACGTGAGCACGTGAGTACATCTCGCTTCAACGAATGGAAGGGGGCAGTCTCCAGGAGAGAGGTGAGCAGTGACAGGACAACAAGACGCGATGACTTACACGCGTGTGTGTGTGTGAGTGAGTGCTTGTGTGCATGTGTGTTGACGGCAGCAGTGCGTTTTATTTTTAGCCAAAAGTACAAAATGCTGCCGCTTTGCAAATTGAGAGAAAACGCACATTCACATTCAGAACTTTGAGTTGACGCAACGTGTCGAGGAGCAGGAGGAGCAAGCGGAGGAAGAGGAGCAAAAGCAAATGACCGCTCGACCGAGCCAAGTGGACGGAAAGCAAAGCAGAGCCAATGCCTCCTGCGCATTGCCCGATTTTATTTTTACTTGTTTTTCTTTTGCTTTCTTACTATATTTGATTATGGAATACCAACAACATTTTCCTTTCGTTTTTGCCATTCTGCGTCTCGCACACACACACACACACACACACATGCTCAGCTCTCTGCTCATTTACATTACAAACTGCGCACGTATAAAATTACACGCGATGCGACGCATTTTTTTTTTTTCGTTTATCGCTCTTTCTTTGGCTTTTACAGTTTTACATTGCCCCAATCAAGCGACCAAATGCATAAGGTACAAAATTGGCCCCAAACAGCAACAAAACGAAAGCAAACAAATTAAGCATATACATAATATATACTCTGTGCATGCATGTATTGGTGTGTGTGTGTGTGTGTGTGTGTGTGTGTGTGTGTGTGTGTGTGTGTGTGTGTGTGTGTGTGTATGTATAAGATAACAACAGCTGTTTGCTATCTGTTTTGTTTTGTGTTTTCATTTCGCGGCTGGCTCTCATTTGAATGTCCATTTTTGGGCATTGTCTTATCTATAAAGCACACGTATGCACATACACATATTAGGAGAAAGCTGTAATGAATCTAATTGGCATATAAAATTAAAGTGCAACTGTAAACTAAGGGGGTAACGGTTCCAATCATTGGTTCACATAATCTAGGCTTGAACCGGTTCGCGTCTAACCTTGATATTTCAGCCACTGCTCGAGACGAGAACCCGTGTATCTTTGTGTGCGTGAAGCTGGTGTTGCGCAACTGAGAGCTCTATATCTAAAGTTCTTATCAACTGACGAGTTACACAAGGCCAGTGACAGACGCTGTGCTGTGCGAGTTAACGAACAGCAGCTGCTAGCTAAAGCTCTAACTAACAACAACTGCACGACGTGGTTACGCTTGTTAACACCTGTGCCGTTACAGCTGATTGTGGCGCAAGTTGGCAGCGCCGCGCCTCAAAGTTGACAGCTTGATAAACGATCCACGTTTCATTCGTGTTTGTGTGCGTGTGTATGTGTGTGTGTGCGAGCGAGCAAGAAAATATGGACAAACGGCGACTTAACGCCACAATTAGAAAATGTGTGTCAATTATAATACAAAAACTCAAAAGCGAGTATTTTTCCTGACTTCACACACACACACACACTTAGTCTCTCAGAGAGAGAGAGAGAGAGACACACACACACTCACACATTCACAAGTAATTTGAGGGAGTGGAGCGAGCGAACGACTGAGCAAGCTAAAAGCAAGCGGGAGCGATATTTGAATTACTTTTCTGTTATTTATTTGTTATACAAGCGCAACGCCAACGCTGAAGGGGGCGTCGCATAGTCTCCCAGAGTGTATATCTGTAGGTGTGTGTGTGTGTGTGTGTGCCTGTGCGATCTGCAATTATTCAACTTTGACGCTGACTGAAAAGCTTAACCGCGTGTGTCATTATATATTATATATGTATATACATACACACACTCACACACACACACACACACACACATACATGTCTGCACATATGTGGGTGGACAAGTTTAAAAGCTTTAGCTATTACGCTGTTATTGCCGTTCTTTGCCAGTGTATTACGTCACCAACACATGCGCAACGCACAGCTGAGTGGCTACAGCGACGTCACATAGAACGCATACATACATACATACATGCGCATGTAAATCGAACAATACATACATTCAAGCACACACGCATACAAACACAGTTATACAAATACAAACCTTTATCTGAAATCTTTTAAACACACTTTTGCTGGCAATGGAAGATTTCAAAACTTTAGAATTTGCTCAATTTTGAATTCTGCTTTGCATTCTGCTTTGCAACTGTTCTTTCGGCTGGCATAATTTTAACTCTTTACTGCGGTTGTGGTTTTTTGTCGCCGTTGCTGCTGTTCTTGTTGTTGTTGTTGTTGTTGTTGTTGTTGGTAGTGCTGTCGCTGATGATGTGTTTGCTTTGTTTTAGTTCTTAGCGGCTGACAACGGCAGCAGCATCCCAAATTTGAACGTAGCATTTGAATTTTCAACGGTTTTGCGTTGCGTTTTCAACGTGAATTGAATCGAATTGAATTGAGTTAAAGGAGGACGTTCGCTTCACGCATACACGCTCACAGAAACGCAGACACGCACACACTAACAAACAAACGGCTTGGGTAACAGTCTCTCTCTGTCTCTATTTATTTTAGTGTGTCTACTCCACACGAGAACGCGAAACAAAACATAAAAGAAAACAAACGTCAGCAGGCAACTGCGAGAGTGGTAAACTTTGCACTGGGCACTTGGGCGACTGACGAAGCGCACAACAAATTATTGAAAAACTTGTTCACTGCTTAGATTTTTTTGGATATTTGGCTGTTGATTTGTTCTTGGTTTTTTTTCGTTGTATAATTTTTGTTTGTTTATTATAGGTCTCTTGCACTTTTGCTGTGCTGCGCCACCAGCTACCCAAGTTTTGCCTTGCTTCGTCAGAGCTTTTGCGTTGGTGTCTCTCGCTATTGGACCTGGGACGTTTTGATGTTGTCGCTTGCGCTGTCGCTGCTTGAATGAACGTGAGCGCTGCCAGCAACTTTCTAAAACAGCTGAGCGAGCCTCAGCCAGCCAGCCAGCCAGCCACACGACGGCAGCAGCGAAACACACGCCAGATAAATACATACATATGTATGTACAATTTGCTGCTTGCTTTGTTGCTTATATATATATATATATATATATATATATATATATATATATATGTGTGTGCCTTGCTTAAATACAAAGCGAACGTGACTTATATACTTGTATATGTGTTAGTGTGTGTGTTATGTATGGAAACTACGTCGTTCATTTATTTATGTACTCATTTATGTAGCTAGTTTTTTGGCATAGCAATATGTCGCAGACGAGACACGTTGATAGCAACACATGCATGTTGCTAAGGCTGCTGAGTCAACAATGTTGCTGCGCATGTATACAAAAATCATATGGAATTTCCACTCGGGTGAGAGTAAGAGAGCCCACAAATAAGAGGCAGAAATCCAAAACATATGCGCGACAAGTAAATAAGAAATGAGTATCTATGTGAATGCACATGTATGCATGTACATAAAAAGGCAAATTGTTGGTGGTGTTCGTGATAGCGTTTCAATAACAAAACCAAACCATGCAGACAACGCGACACACACATATACAACAAGCTGGCACATACAACGAACCCGTTTCCATATGTTTGATGGCTGTTGCTGCTGCTGCTGCTGCGCTGCTGCTGCTGCTGCTGCTGCCGCTGCTGCTGCGCTGCTTCTGTCGGGTCGTTAAGTGCTGATGTTGCTTTTGCTTTATGTACGCTTGTTTGCATGAATGTGTGCATGCATGTTTGTGTGTCTGTATGTATATGGGCAGATTCTATTTTCTCAGTATGGTAGCTTGTGCATCGGTGTGTGAGTGAGTGAGTACTTGTTGGCTCACTTGCTTTGCAAAGTAAATAAACATCGCAAAAACGCATGCGTCGCCGTCAGCGACCCAGACAACAACGGCAGCAGCAAGGTTCGTTTAATGTTTGTTTGCTTTATGATTTCTTTGCTTTCTTGCTGTGGACTGCATCAACCTCCTTATCAGTAACACCCGCACACACACCCACATACCATACATGTACATAACTTATTGTTTTTTCTCATCAGCGCGCTGATATGATTTGACTTGATGTTAATGCGATTTCTGTTCTGCACGCTGCTTTACAGAGCCATGCACACAAGTACAATCACTTGTCAGAGAGAGGGACAGAAGAGAGAGAGTGACAAAGAGAAGAAACTTTAATGACCCAAGAAGCCAAAGTCGGAGGACACACGCCACAGACGCGACAACAAAGACTCTGCAAAGAGCTCGCACAAACAAAGAAAACGCTCGACGTCTTCTCCTGTCTGGTTCTGGTCTGGCCCGCTTTCCTCCTCTCCTCCCAAGACCGTACGTACGAACACACTCACACACACACACACACACATATATATATGCATATATATATATATATATATACACGTATTTATTATGTCTGTCTCCTCCTGTGCCAAAACAGGAAAGCAAAGAAATTGTTGAACCCTTGAATTCGGGATTTGTCTGCCGCACGCACACACACACACTCACACACACACTCACAAGCATGACCGCACACCTACAGAGAAAGAAGTCATAAGTTTTAATACGGAGTGTGTGCATATTGGATTT